TCAGCATGATAATTACAACATACATCACCTCCGAGCCGGAAATCCCATCCTCAAACCCAAAAGGGTTTCTGATGTTTCCGGTCCATGAGCATCGAACTTGAGGGAACGTAGCAGGTTCTAAGGTGTCTGCAGTGGGTTGGGTCAGCACTTCCGTGGAGAGAATGGGAACCCCAGCCTAGTGTGCAGAGGTGGCAAGAAGGGATCTTACAGCAAGGGATGGCAAAGCTAAAAGACTAACAAGTGTGCTGACTCAGCGGCCTTAGGAAGTTGTCGATCTCCTTTAAGGCACTGTGTAGAATTAATCTAGTCAGCCTTCTCGAGTCCTCAGATTCATCAACTTTGGATCAGAAGCACTTGGAGAGAGAAAGCATGTCTGTACACACATGGACAGATGATTTTTGTTAGTGGGGTCATTAGTCCCTGGACTACAGGGTATTGTTTCAGGAGCTCTGCTTAATCTAAAGAGATGAGTTAAAGTAGGTGGAAGAATGCCTGTAGGTCTTGTGAAATACTGCCCAATTTTGTATTTAAGAGACTGTGTGTGAGCTTTGGGATTCCTGGGCAATGTGGACCTAATCCCCACGGGTCCCAAGGGTGACCACAGACCACTCCTGTGCAAGTACCTCATCTTTGTTCCATTGAGCCTAAGGGAGCTCCATAGCTTCCTTTCCTTTGTGCTGTCTCTGTCTTACTAAACTTCACTCTAGCCTCCTGTTTTCCTGGAACTCAACACATTCATGATCACCTTTGGGTCTGTGTACTTGTTACTCATTCTGCCTCTTTTCCCAGATTTTTAAAGCATTGGTTCATTGATAGCCTCTTGGGCCTGACATCATAGATCCCGTTTTGTAATAGCCTTCCCTTGCCCCCATGGTTAAATTCACCCTTCCAATCTCTCACCATTTTATTCCAGTTCTCTACTTTCCAGTCTTCAGTCATCATCAAATTAATTTGGTGTCATCCACCTTTTCCCTTCAAAAATACAGTTTCATAATTTTTATTTACTGTTCTATCTCCAATACCTGTGTGGTGGGAACATGACTTAATAAACAGTGAATTCTCCTAGCCATGGGCCTTACGCTTGCCACTGGGCTACATACCAGCCATTTGCATTTTTTATTTTGAAGCGGTGTCTGCTGCCTTGCTTAGAATGGCCATGGATCCCGCGCCCTCCTTTCTTGGCTTCTTGAGTAGCTGGCGCCGCAGGTGTGTACCACCACACTTGGTGATTCTCTGTGAAGGAGATGCAGTCCTCTTAGATTGTTGCTCTTGACACAGGTTTGTTGTTGTTTGTTTCCTTTCGTAAATAAGACAAGATCATCCTGGATTAAAAACAATAACAGTGGCTTCTTGTAAAGTCTTAACGCATATCATCATCACTTACATCCCATGGGTCATAACTCTCAAGGCAGCATCAGTACAGCACACCTATAATATGAGGGAGAGGGAGAATCCCAGAAAGGTGTTCTAGAAACAGCAAAAGCAGGAACTCCAGAAGACACAGTGCTTCCCGCTACCTCCTGTTCTCCAGTGCGTGGTGCCCGGAGCTGGTTCCTTCAACTGGAGGACAGCCCTGTGGTCCTCCCAGGTGACTGCCGTCTTCTCTGTCCCAGTTTCAGAGGATGCATTTTTAGTTCCCTATCCCCGCTGTGTAGCATCCACATTGCTAGGGTATTTCAGTGGGTATCCTCTTCTGTAAGGGTTCCTGGTTCTGAGCCTGCAACTATGTTCTCTTCCTTGGTATTTTTCCAAAGAAACTGTAATCTACCTCCAGCTTCCTTCTTTATGCTTCTAGTCTATCAGCTCAGAAATTATAGAGTCTTAATAGATTGTTTTCCGAAACCGAATTAGGGGGATCTTGACAACTACCTCAAAGCTGCTGTTCTGGAAATGTACTGTGCACCTTTTCCTCTGATGGAAAAGTACAGTGCCTCTCTTAACAGACACAGACCTAGCCTGCTGGGTAGTTCTTACAGCTGAGGACCGCCGGTGTCCCTGATTCCAGGCACTAGAGCTCTTACGGTATAGAACTTCCCCGAAACATAATTAATTCTGTTTGTGTCTCCTAGGAGTCACATTCAAAGTGAATGTCTGGTGATTACTACAAGTTTTGCATGAAAAGAAAAGAATTAAGATGTGCTGTATACATGTACCAATTCCACACAACAAATGTAAGCAGATAGTAATATAAAAGAAGAAACTAACAGGTGAATTGTTACGTTAGTTACAGTGCATTGACTATTTACTTTTTACCTCAATTTTTAAATCTTTTTTGCTCTAGCACCTTTCTTAGCTACTAGTCAGCCTTAGGTAGTCTTTTGCTCTCTTCATATTTTTTAATTAAAAGGATTTAAAAAGCAGAGAACGATTTGAGCTGTGCCCTGTGCATGCTGTCTGAGGCGTATCTCCTTTCAAGCCCCATGAAGTAATGCTGCAAACCATTGCATCCCCACGTTGCTCCTGTGTGTGCTGCATGCCCGGAAAGCAGTAGCCGAGGATGTGCACCGTGCCCTGACTGCTCCTCTGATCGAAGATTGTTAGGGTAGTCACCCAAATGTGGTGTGGAGTTGGCAGTTAGGTTATCCCAGAGGCCATAGAGTTACTTCTTCCGTGGCTCATGGGAAGATTTCCATTTTCATGTTCTGTACACACAGTCAGGAAACAGTTGGTCCGCATGAAGGGACCTGCCCAGCAGGTCCTCACCTCTGGGCTGCCTATCCAGCTATGCACAAGAAAAATGCTGACTCCAGTGATCCTTGTTCCTGAGCTTTTGTGCTCTATTCTGTTCTAAGTTTTTGAATGTTGTTATAAAACCTGCATTTTCAGGTAACACTTGTATGTTATTTTAACTTGGTTTATATGACAGTTTACGATCGACTTTGATAAGCTGCTTGTCTGTTTAGCTGAAAGACAGTGTTGGAAGCATGCAGCTTTAGGGATCATTATAAGTTAGTTATTGATGGACGATTGGAAAGCAAATTACTTTCCCTATGCAAGTTGTAATGCTAAGAGCATATTTCTATTTATAGCCTTTTTGTGAGCCCTGAGTGTTTCTGTCATCTAATCCAAGAAAATTCCCTGTCCGTATAAACATGGCATCCCTTTTTCACTGGGGGGATCCATGCCCACACTGTTCTACGTGAGTCTGCCAAGGTCACTAAGTGAGTCGTTGGTGAAGCCAGAAATAGAATTCACATCTCCTGACTCCCGATTCAGTTCTCTATCCTCAGTATAGTTTTCTATCCTCCATACCCCTGCTGCCTCTCATGGGAAAAGAAGTTAATCTTCCAGCTATTAATAGCCACCAAATTGGTGGTAGCAGCACAGTGGAGAAAAGTAACTGTCTTTACACTGCAGCATTAGTATAAAAATATCTGGTAATGGAAAATTTGACAAATGTCATGTTAAAGGGAGTGGAAAATTATTTTAAGATCTAGATCTCATTTATCTAGTTCTCAGAAAAGTACAATTCCTTAGTAGAACAGGGATCATATTTTTCTTCCTGTTTTTAAATTGTAATTCCTAGAGGGTAATTGTCAACCTAGCCAAAGCAGAACCTATTGTCAACTAACGTAACAAGAAGGATGCATGTACTGTTGGTGACTGATAACCATGCATTTTTTTGGTTTGGTTGAAAACTTGAATTACTTCATTGAAATATGTAAAACTTACTCTGTTTAGGTTACTGTTACCATAGTAAAATGAATGTACCATCAATTGAGAATTTTACTTCATGTTTTGAAAACATGGCAGAAATAATAAATTCCAGTTTCTTTGGTGGGCAGGTGTTCTACTTCCTGTCCACCCCCATGAGGTGAGCAGATGGAATTGTCCATCACCAAGCGTGGCACAGCACAGCGAGGTTGCTGAAGCACGCTGTCACACAGGAGCTCAGTGCTGGCCATGCTCATTAAAGGCATTAGAAATATGTCTGTGTACTGGAATATTTAAGTGTGTCTAGTCCTGTCGGGATGCAAACCTTGAGTTCTGTCTAACAAAACCATTGTCTCTTAATTTGGAGCAAGGACCACAAATTCCTTTGCTAAAATCTCAGGGTATTTGTTTCTGTTAAGGATTACTAAAGGCCTTGAGTGGGAAGGATGACACAGTGTTGTGTTTAAACTACAAACCTAGGAGAAGTGAGACTCAGAGGTCCGCAAATCCAAGAGAAGGGAAAGGGGTTTTTAAAAGTCGAGTTATTTGAAACCCAAATGTGTAAAAAGTGGTGGCAAAAAGAAATGAGAGAACATGTGGATGAGAGGGTGAATTCTAGCTCCTTGGAGAAGCGCACACATTTCCTGGGTGGAGGAAGCGGGGAGTAACACAGATGCTGGAGAAGTAGTAGGAGTGATTTTGGAAAGCTTCAGAAGCCGGGTAAGTCCGAGGTCATCATGACATTTGGGAAACAGGTTTTTACAGAGTGGCAAGTGTTAAAGTATGCAAATCCTTCCAGTTATGTTCATTTACCTTTCATATCAACATGATTTTTGCAAATTTCTGAGTTATGCTTGATATGGGAGACAGCCAAGCACCAGAATGCTGAATCAGCCATGCACCAGTCATCATGGATTGCAGTTCTTCCTTAACCTGGGTTTCACTGGTTACTGCCATTCCTGTGCATAGCCCAGACTTCCACTCAACTAGTAATACTAATTGGGTGATATGCCACGATAGGACAAGTATCAATCTCTTTCTACAAATGCTAAGTGTATTTCTGTTGTCTTAAACTCAAGTCAAGCATGAAAGCTGAAAGTTGCTTGTGAATGGTAACTTGGTTGGAAAGTTGTTTTCCTGACTTCTCAGGCACTAGTCATACTTATAAGTTGGTATGGATATTAGCAGTTTATTTTTGTTATAACATGTAAGCTTATTGAAGTGTTTTAGCATTAAAGCATGTTTCAGATTCTGTTGGCAGAAAAATACCATTTTTATCAATTTTTAATGGTATTATTGGCAAACTAGGCAACAATATTGAAGAACTTTTTCATTTTATTGAACAGGCACATCTTCAAGTGAATCAAATCTGCTTCAGATTCCTCCACACAAAAGAACTAGAAGAAAATTAATATCTTCCCCCTTGACCGCAAAGCATACAGAAGAGCCAGCGCTGTCTGAAAGTGTCCAGCTCAATGACTCTCTCATCAAAGAACTTCATCCTATTTTGTATACTCCAGAGAACTACAGAAAAACTGTCCCATGTCCATCTCCAGTGGCCCTGGTAAAACCATGCTCACACACTGCGAGCTTCCCAGCTGTCAGCTCCCATGGAAGCAGTGGTAATTCTGTGGCTTCGCCAGCCAAGGTAGCCACCCCTCTTCACTGGAGAACAGAATGTGCACGGGCCAATTTGGACTCGACCTTTATCATATGTGAAGACTCCAGGAGCCCAAAGGCTAAAATAGATGAGCAAGAAGCGTTCCCAAACAACGAAAACGTTTCCAAAAGGTATGAAAAGAGAATGTTTGCCAGTTCCTTTTTCTTCTTTAAACACAGCCCTCGTCTTCCTTTTTTTCCTTGATCGATATGTTTTATTTCTTAGGTAAAATGTGCTACCCTGATTACAAGCAGTTTTTTATTTACACTGAGTCTTAATTACCTAAGCATGGATCCCCTAACAGTGTTACATTTGACCTTGGTTAAGCTGTGGCAGACGTTAGGGCACCCTGTGTTCCTTGTGCGCTGCAGTCACATGGCATAGGCCACCGTGCAGGATGCCGCCCTGCTATCCTTCACCCACATCTCTGAGGGAAACCCCACTTTCTGCTGGCGCCCCTCATACTCAGCTGCCTGAAATAGTCGTAAATCTCAAGTGTGGTTGGCTGTGTGTTACCTAAGCAGACATCCGTCTGCATGGTCACGCTTCACTGTGCTGGAAGAAAGCACAGTTTCTCCCCAGCGCCAGTGCCAGCGCGGGAAGTTGCAGAGCATAGGGCACTGTGCCCTAACCTCAGGGCTGGGCCTTTTGTCTCTGTGGCACACTTGTCTTTTATGTTTCTTTCGTGCAGACCTTACCCTTCTTCACTGTCGGCCACACACCCTGTGCCTGTGTCCAGCGTGGTGCCGTCCTACATGGCGATGACTGCTGCCGCCAGGAAGAAGCGGAAGTTAGCAAGGTGCGTGAGCCCCACAGGCACCTGCCTGTGTCTCAGCTCCGGCTGCACCGCTGTGAAGGGCACTGCCCTCCATTCGTTACCACAGGGAGAGCTGGGAGCCCGTGCACTGCACTTGATGTTTATATAATATCTTTTAGATAATTAAAAATAAGTTGAAAAGTCTTCTAGCTTTCAAAATGTCACTGAATTTTACTTTTCTCCTGATGGCAGTGTTTTTTTTTTTACTGATTTAGTTATTTGTCCTTTTAAATACTCGTGAATTTCTTTCATTTTGGAATTAAATTTTAGCATTTCGATAAAGGGCGTGCAGTGAAGTGAGGAGCGTGCTGGTTCTGGCCAGGACAGTGTAGCTGTCAGACCAAGCCACTCACCAACCCAGTCCGGTGACAGCTGATTGGAGGCCCGTGGTAGGGGAGGGCTGAGGCTGAAGACCCCAGGGAGGGCGGAGTGCTGGGGGTGAGCTTGTCCTCTCCTTTCCAGGCGTGGCCCACAGACCAACAGCAGCCAGAAGTTTATAGTTCTAGGCGCTCACTGAGCTAGGGAGACAACCGTTTGTGCAGCTTCTGACCTCATGGTTTGCCAGTCTCTAAACTCTGGGCTAAGTGGCTGAGAAACTGCTGAAAGCAGCTGCCGAGAGACTCCGGAGTGAACCAGGTTTGACGTTGGCTGGAGCTGGAGCTGGAGCTGGACATGGAACCTGGAGTTCAGGAGGCAGTGCAGGGAGCTCTCAGATGCCCATCGGTCTAGCTGAAACCCTTGAAAGGGTGTGCTCAGTGCGCCAGGCGACACAGTCAAATGATTAAAAGTCAACAGAATGAAAACATAGAGACGCAGGGGTGCCTAAATGCTGCTGAGCTTGGGGTCTTATAAGTCCCCGATTTGCGGACACTTAAGTTGGGCAGTTTCACAGATGCAAACAGACCCCGCCTTAGGACGTTGCTAGATGCCAGCGAATCACAGAACAAGTTCGTGGGTGTGCAGGACCCTGTCACAGCTGTTCCTGTGTGGCCACTGCATCCCGAGATGCTGCACAGTGGTGCCATACACATGGGGACTTACTCTGTCTGTTCACGGGGGTCTAGTTTCCTTGTGCTTCGTGTTGTGTTTCTTTGTGACAGGTGTGCGAGACTCATCCTGTCGGACTTATGACGAATCCTACCTTAGGAACCTTCTCCCAGAATGGAACTCGTTCATAGGTCCGGGGACTTCCTGTAGTGAATGTCAGCTGTAAAAGTTCAACTGTGATTAATTTCAGCAAAGTAGATAATGTAGAAAATTTGACCAAGAACTGGATTCTCTCAAAATGAGTCAAAGGGATATTCTAGAACCCAAAGAGTAGAATTTACTGAAATTAAAAGCTCAGTAATTTAGTCTCAGAATAGCTGGAGGGTGCAGAGAGCAGAGGAGATGTTGGAGACACGGTCACATAGGTCCGGAATAGGTGTATTTGAGTCTACCAAAGCAAGGAAAAGAATGTGGAAACACTGTTTGTGGGGGTGCTGGCTACTGGTTTCTGAAAACTGATGAAAGACAAATCATACGTTTGAGAAGTGCTGCTCATTGCAGGCAGGGCTAACAGAGAGAGGTAGGAGTAACTACCTCAGCGCACAGTGATAAGGCAGCTGGGCCCAGAGATGGTGCTGAGCCACAGCCTTCGGTCTTTATATCCTCCAGAGTGAGCCTAGGGACAGAATGCACTGGGTGGCTATAAAGTGGATCTGACTTCTGTTAGTTCTTTTTTTTTTTTGGTCTTTTTCCTTTTTATCAGTACCGAGGATCGAACTCATGACTGCCTGCTTTGCAAGGCAGGCGCTTATGCCGCTGAGCTAAATCCCCAGTCCCCTGTCAGTACTTCTTTACCACACCCCTATGAGGAAACAAGTAACTAGCCTTTGGTCCCTTGTTTTTACTTTTTTCAGACAGGGTCTGGCTATGCAGTTCAGGCTGCCCAAGCTGGCCTCCAGTGGGGGATCCTCCTGCCTCAGCCTCCTGAGTGCTGGGATTATAGGCGTGAGCCACTACTCCCGGCTCTTTAGGTTTTTATAAACTTCCTATTTTCTGCTCTGGCTCTTTTGTCCTGTAGACTACAGGAAATGAATCTATAAGTGACATATTTACACATCTTCTCACTTATGAATTTCGGATCTGCTTTTGCCCCTCAAAACTCAGGTACAGCAGAGCCTTGAAATGCTGTTAATTTAAAATCCCCAGGCAGGCTTTTCCTGAATATCTCTGAGTTTGCATAACATCCAAGGGTTTGCTTGGTAGCCTCCCTCCTCGTTCATGGTTTCACTTTCAGGAGTTTCAGTTGCCTACATGCAACCAAGGCTGGAAAATATTCAGTGGAAAATTCCAGAAATATTGGGTTCAGAAGTCTGACCGATAGTGGTCACTCTGAGAGGTACACAGAAATCTTCCGCTGTCCCTCCCCATGTGGCTGCCAGAGTGGCCCCTCTTCCCACTCCTTAGCTGGGTCTCTGGTATCAGATCAGCTGCCAGGTAGTGCAGTGCTCGCTCAGGTAACCCTTACTTCACTGAGCTGCTTGCCTGGAGCCAAAAATTAGTGAGGCTGGCAACTAAAAATGCCAAGGAGAAGCTGGACGCCACTTCCTTTAAAGAAAGGGTAAAAGTTTATCATAAACACGGACCAGCAGGACAGCACTTGAGTTATGCTAGCTAGGTTCAGCATTCTGGATTCCCCACTAGTGGTCTTGCAGTAGTCTCCCGTGGCTGGAGAGAGACGAGTATTTTTGTAAATTGCGGGTGTAAACTGTGGGGAGCCTGGCTCCTGGGTGAGGCTCAGGAACGAGCCTCGCTGACACCGTCCTCGGTTCCAGCCTCTAAAGTGTGCTGTGTCAGTTTTGTCTCTCAGCCCACTGATGAATGTCTTTCCTCTGTTGTATTTACTGGATGTGGCAGGCACAGCAGCTAAAAATAATTTTCAAATGTAAACTTGTCACTAGCAAATCACATAATTCTTTGTCAAGAAGTATCTGGTGTGGTAGTATATTTGGAGTGGCTTAGGTGAATTAAAGGCCTTACACTGTGATATTAAAGGACACATAAAGCAAGCCACTTGATTTTTTCATAGCCTATTAATTACTCTTACATTCCCTCTGGTACCAATAATTAGATCCTGCCATTAAGGAAGGTTAAAAGAGATTACAAATGTACATAATTACTTTTTTTAATCTTCCTTTTCCCCAATTAAATCTATATGGGATTGAAAGAAACTGGTATTTTCCACAAAGCAGCATTATGTCAATACATACATTTATTTGGAGTATATATTCTGTTTTTAAAAATAAAGAGAAGTTTTCATGTATGTATAATCTTACATCATTTTCCCCCCCTCTGGAAAAAAGTACTCTAAAAGTACTAAGTAGTGCAAAATCTTAGCAATTTTTCTTGCTATTTAATCTTGCGAGTATTCGAGTTTTAATCTTAACAATGTGTTGAATATCACTGAAATAGATCATTCTGAATAAGTTCATTGACCAACTAAATATATGTATATTAGTGGGTATTTTTTTTTACATCAATCAAAGTTTTGGGTTTCTGCTTATTTGTGTTTATTTGGTTCTTTGATTTTGTTGTTGTTCATTGTCTAGTTATTCCAGCTGGAAATTTGCGTTCAGCTGAAAGAATATGAGATGTGTTGTTTATTAATTAGAACCATTCTATAAAAATGAGGAAGCAAAAGTTTACTTCTTTAATAGTTACAGAAAAGTATTTTATACATAGTTGGAAGAATCCTTAGATTTCTTATCAATATCATCTTTAACAATTTAAATTTTATAATTTTAAATTGATATGTGTTACAAACATTTCATCAGTACGTTATTTTATCTAAATCCCAAAAATATATCCTTGTACTAGACTTATGTAAATAAGCAACTTATTTTGTCTTGAGTATGAGTTTTAATCAAATGGATTTATTCAGAAACTTAATTTTCAAATAAAAGTATGCTTTAAGTAAAAAGTGAAGTCTTTGAATTAACCAAAGTAAAAAATCATATGTAAAATAATAAAGACAAATTTATTATAAATTTATTATCTCTTATCAAAAGTAGCTAGTGACAGTGATCTGTGTCCTTGAAGAAATAACTTCAAGAGCCAGGGATTTACCTCAGTGGCATAAGCGCCTGCCTTGCAAGCCCATGGTCATGAGTTCAATCCCCAGTTCCAAAAAATAAGTAAATAAATAACTTCAACAACAGTGTGTAAAAATCACAGTAGAACTTAGCCCTTGAGGAGCATCCAGGGGTAGAGAACGTCAGCAGTTGGATATTTCCTCACACCCCTCTGTACCCTGTGGCCACTTGGTGGGGCGTCCTGCGCGCCTCTGAGCGGAGCCGCGTCGGGAATCCGTGGTGCACACTGAGCACTCCTCCGGAGGGCTTTGGAGCCCGCACGTGTGTCTCCTGTTCTCTTCCTCCATGTTCGGCATGCTCAGAAGCTGGCATTTCTGACTGGCTGAGCGCGTGGCTCACCCGTCTCCCCGTCCCGCAAGCACACACTCGTGCTGGCGCACAGCATGATCAAAGTGCCAGGGAGGAAGGTGTCCCAGTTCAGGGAGCCCTCGGTGGTGACAGTCACTGGCAGTCAGGTCAGCGTCAGTTTGTAAGATGTCACACGGTATCTTCAGCAACCAAAGAAAGAGAATCCCTGATGTTGGTGATTAGCGTACAAGAGTGGTATTCTCCCCGACGTGGCCTCCAAGTGGTGTTAGAATTTGACCTCTTGACCACAGTGTGTGCCCGGCTACTGTTCTGAAGGTGAACCTAATAAAAACAGGTTATGCTTTCCAGTTTCTATAATTATAAGAACTGTAATTATAACAGTCTTTCATTTTATTATAAAATACTGCATTTTAATTCAAAAATGGACTTCCAGATCATCCCCAGTGTCCACATCCCCCACATTAGAGTTTTCACTTCAAACCGATAAACAAGAGCCTAGGTTTTCAGCCTCTGTGGGCATGGGCTGCCATCCACTCTCCAGGTCGCAGTGACCCTCACACTGCAGCAGGGACCCAGCTGCAGCCCCCTGGCATATACCTCTGGTCCCTGTATCCACCTGAAAAGACACAGTGCCTCCTGTTTCCAAACCTCGGATTTGTGGTTTTTATGAGAGTTGCATGTAGAGCATGAATAGCAGTTAAAGATATAAAAAGTGCTTAATTAAAAATAAAATCGTAACTTTCTCCCTCCAGTTCCACATCAAGTAATCTCTTTCCTGCTGAAGAAAATCATGGATTTGCCAAACGTATTCGACGAGACAATTCAAGTGAGAGGGTCTTACAAGAAAACAGACCAACCATACGTAAGTCGCAGCTGCTGATGTGTTGATGACAGGATTATCTAACATACAAGTCATACTTGTGTTTTACAGTGTTTTCTTAAAGTCCCCACTGAGGTTCCACTTCCTGCCTTTATTGTACGGTAGAGCAAGTGTGATTGCCCATATGTTACAGATACGAGAACTGGAGGCCAGCATGTGAAACACTGCTCTAGGGTCACCGTGGCGCTAGGACTCAGAACCACGTTCCCCAGCTATGCATTCTGTTCCTTTTGTTACCTGTGCTGCTCCATACTATAGAATTGGAGAATACTTTGGCCAGGAGTCAAATGTGTTACTTAGTCAGATAGCTAAGTGTACTGTAGAAACTACACCGACTGGTAGACTGGTAGTTTTCCTCCTCACCTGCTCTCCTGATTTGGCCTGTGACTTATCTGTGGAATTACTGTACTGGTGCTGTTTGTACCCAGTGATGGTAACTCATGGACACGCTGAAGAAGAGAACCATGAAGCTGACGGTGTTTTCTCACCGCCATGTGGGAGTGACCGAAGAGGCCCTGCAGCTGATGGAGAGGCCCCTTTTGCCCACCAGTTTCCAGATTGTAATGTGCAAAACTCTGTCTGCGATCTGCTCCAAAGACTTGGTTCAGAAAGAGTCTGCTTACCGAGCATTCTCTGGTGCTGGATTTGTGGCGAACACAAAGGCAAACACTGTATGAGTCAATGTGATTCCTTCGCAAGGAACTCACAGCGCCTGGCATGCAGGTCTCGTGAGATTTTGTTTCCATGAGTAACGTGGAAACGCTTTTTCCTTTTTTTTCTAATAATGCCGTTTGAATTGCATAAAATTCCTCAAAACTCTGCCGTTTACTTCCCGTAGTAGCCAGGGGCAGTTGTTTACCTTAAGTTCAGTGTAAATACCTCTTATTCAAATATAAGAGTCAAATAGCCGGATACTAAAATGAATGGTGATCCGGTTTGACATTCCGGGTTCCATGATGGGGCACTGTATCTGTAGTCGGTGTGGGTGATGCTGCCCCTTTCGGCTCCTCTAAAATCTTTCAGAATGTCCTAACTCTGCAGTTAAATAATAAACTTAGGAAGATTCTCAAATCATAGGATTTGGTTTTATATTGTCTAGGAATGGCTTAGTCAATTTTTTATTAAAGCAAAGTTAAAAAATACTGTGGAGAAAAATGTGGTAGAGAATACTAAGCTTGCCAAAGACAGACAAAGCTAACAGGAGGTTTATCCAGGGTTTTGCTTTTCGAGAATAAAGGAACACTGAGAAGGAGTGACTAGAAGATAATATGTATTAGATCATCTCATTGAAAAATACCCGAGGGGCTAGGGATATAGCTCAGTGGCATAAGCGCCTGCCTTGTAAGCAGGCAGTCGTGAGTTCGATCCCTGGTACCGATAAAAACAAAAAAGACCAAAAAAAAGAAAAGAAAAATACCCGAATATACATGTATCAGAAATTGCTAGAAAGGTAAAATGGAGACTACTCCCTTCAGAAGGTGTTCTCCCTGGTTCTTGTTGGTGGTACCAACATTTAAACTCAGGGCCTTCACACTGACTGACCTGTATCCCTGCCCTTTTCTGAGACAGGCGCTTAGGCAGTTGTAAGTTGCTCAGTCTGGACTTGAACTTGCGGTCTTCCTGCCCCAGCCTCCCAGAATGCTGGGGTCACGGCACCCCTGCCCAGGTCGCCTAACGCTTCAGCTAAAAAAAGGCAAACAAAAGCGTCATCAGTGGGGAAAAAAGACCACTACTGTTAACTGAGCAGTTAGAGCAATAAAAACGGTATCAAGAAACTGTGCCTCTCCAAAACTAAAGTCTAATGTGACCAGAAAACCAGCAGTTAGAAAAGCTTGTGGTGGCACTTGCTGGACTCCAGGACCATCGTCACAGTGTGAAACTCGCATGGAAAAAACCCAAAGAATGAAAAAGACCCGTGATACAAGAAACAGGGAGGGGAAGGCAGAATGAGTGTAGCACTTTCTCAGGACTGTCTGAAAACTGCACGTGCAAAGGCACGGAATTTGGTGATCAAATTAAAAGCCCAAGGTGTAAAGTATCTTTGCTGTATGTAAATTATATTTCAAGAGTAAATGTTCTTTCCTTTGGTTGTAATTTTCAATAAATTTCTGTAAGTTGAATGAATGTTGAAAACTGGTTCCTAGTCTTGTACTACATTTCTTTATCTTTTTTTCTCTAGGACACAAAAAAAACATCCATAAACTAAACTTGAACATGGTTAGGAAATTCGGAAGAAATATTTCAAAAGGAAATCTAACATAAGTGACTTCAAAGTTAAGGACGATGAAACGAGCCTGCTTTTGAAAGGGGTTTGTCAGCTGCTCCCAGAAGTATGTTTAAAACTCTTGAAGAAGACCCTCTAAAGCTGTTTACCCAAAAGTCTTCAGCAAGCAGAAAATGAAAACTATACTTTGAGTAAACAGAAAATTTCAACAGAAGCTGTTATGTCTTAAGTTTCTGCAGTATTTGTTACCCTTTAGGATTCCTAATTCAGCCTCGTGTCTGCTCACTTTTATAACAAGAAGATGCTATAACAAGTTGAGGATGATTAAGAAAACAATAGTGATATAAATTATCCTTGTTTGTTTTTAAAGAGAATTTAGAAGGGGTAAAATTATGGTCCAAGACGTACCAGTCTTTGTTACATTCCCACACTTCAGTCTACTCACTGGGACTGTCTGTCCTAAAAGTACCTGGTGTTACAAATGTACATAAGTGCTGTCCATAAAGTTGTTGTAAATATTATTTAAATGTCGGTAATGAATAAAATACTAATATTGTCCCTTGCTACTTGATACATTAAAGATGTAGATTTTAAAGTGTTTGACTTTTCTGTCTCATTACTAGCCCTTGCACATGCTATTATTCAGTGTGGGTTCTATATATTTATATTTCAGATTAGATCAAGACAAAGGATACCAGAACCAAGTCTGCAAATAATTCATAGGTTTCTTTATAATAATGAGAGAATATTTTAACTCATTCCTGCTGCTAATGGAATTACATGGACCTACAGCTTAATTCTACTATAACCTCGTTCACCTGCCCGCGTCAGCCTCCTTTTCTGCTAAATGCAACCAATATTTGTTTGAATGCACTTTTAATTTTGTGTAGCATCAGAACCTTCACACAAAAGCAAACAACCCTACTGAAAGACAAATGGCAGCATTTTAAACCTTTCAGTGGTTTGAGTTTTATCGTTTGTTTCCTGTCTGACTGAGAAAGTAGTGAGCGAGGATAATCTTCATACAGTAGTCCCTTCAGGCTCCGACCCTCCAGCAGGCTTCGTGTTCCAAAGCATTAGTTTGCTGTTTCATCCACATTTAAAATCGTGCTTGTCTTTGTACATGTTTAAGTGAACATAAATACTATTATGACAATAACTAACCCAATCTTTCTGTAGTTTGAAAAGTCCTTCCATTTCTCTTTCAGTGGAGTATTTCACAGCCTTGTTAACATGCTTAGCAGCCTCAAATAAACGCCCATTTTTTAACTTAATGCAAAATCTTAAAGAGGTGTAATGCCCTTGAGACCATAGTTTGAATGATAACATGCTATCAAATTAAGATTAGAGGCTGGAGTGGTGGCAGTAGGGATCCGAGAGAACGTAGTCGAAAGTCCTTTTACTTACCAGGTTAAAGCAATCTCAGTGCATGAAAGCTAACTACCCATCCTTACTCATTTTTGTTAAGACCTAAAAGAAAAAAAAACTAGGTTTTGTTTCTTTGTTTTTAAGTTCACTGTGTTTAGATATATATAATGATCACATTCATCATGGGAAATTTGTCTCTAGGCTGTACTTTGTTTTTAATTTTAAAAATTTAAAAAATTTTAAAACCAATTTCAAAACTAATAGAAAATTAGCACTCAATATTTTACATATTCTTTAAAGTCGTTCAGATTACAAGATCTAGGCATGAAGATCAAACAGTGAAAACAAACTGCTCAAAAGCAAAGTACAACAGGCGGAGAAAGGGAAAAGGAAAAGGGAAGAGCTTGTGTACAGGTAGACAGGTGCCTGTTTCTATAGACAGGTCGGCTGTATCTGGATTCTTCTCTGATTCAGAGTGTGGTTTTTGTAGAGTGACACTTTTTAAACAGCGTGCTTCTCTGCTTTTTAACATGAGTTGAAGGATATGCTGATACAGTACTTTCGCATGCGGGCCCAAGGGCAGGGGAGCGGGAAGCTCAGAATCCATTTCCTCAGCCCGCACCCCAGGCGCGTGGTGGCAGGGAGAGAAGGGTGCCTGTCCCTGCCCTGGAAGGAACCCACGCACGCAGCCACGGCGGTGTGAGCCCGCTCCTCAGCACGCAGTCCTGGACACCGGCCTGGTGCTTGCACGGAGGACGCATCTTTCCCCAGTGAGCTCCTCTGGGGCGCACAGAGCTCAGTGCGCCCGACACCAAGTGAGACCGCAGGAGCGCACACCACGCGTGTTCCCAAAACGCCCACTGCTGATGCAATCAGGCCAAGAAACACAGGCCGAAGGAGGTATTCGGTGCATAAGCAGGGTTACAGCTGGACAAGACCACACCCAAAACGCGAAATTTTCAGAGGAGCAAATTTGCATTTTGAAATGGTTACTGACTAGATTTAACCTTAACCTTAATCTTGCAGGGGATCTAGCTCAGCAGCACAGCGCCTACCTGGCAAGTGCGAGGTCTTGAGTTCGTTCCTGGTATCCCAAAAATAAATAATAAAACAAAACTTTAATCTTAAATGATTAGCATTCGTGAATATAGTTTATTTTAAATTATCTGTTGATCTCGAAGTTAAATTGCAAATGTGTAACAGCTGCTCCATAAGAGCTTACCTTTCCACTGGAAAGAAGCGGTAGTGTTCACTGTGTTTTCGATCACACGTTGCCGCGAACCCCCCTGGGGAGCCATCCTGTGGCTCAAGCTCCCTCATCCCATCATTCCCACTGCTGTCTGAACAGCTCTAGAGCGCTTTCTCTGAGCCTCTTTCCAAGGCATGACCCAAACCGCGGTGGACACTGCTGCCGAGCGCCCCCAGCGCCAAGGCAAGCTCTTGCCAGTACCTCGGTGCATCCTCCCCTATCCTGTCCTCCGGGCCTGGGTTGTGCACAGCCTGTGCCTCTCCAGTGGTAAATGACCAGGGAAGGACTACGTTATTAGTCATTCGGCACGTCAGGGCGGCCAGGGCAGCACCACTGCAGACACTCCTGAAAGAGGACTTCAGAGATGCTGCAGAAAGTGGCAAGAGCAGTGGACAGATTGCTCCAAGCCGGCAGGATTGTGAGGGGCTGCACAGCATGTCTTTTCCTATAAATATGGTTTTTGGCACATAAATGTTCACTGTGTATTTTCACCACCCCTCGCATAATCCCCCTCTGAAAGATGGGCCACATTGAAAGTCTCCATAATTAACTGAAATTTCCTTTTCATGGTGTGATGGTGACCCCTTGAGCCCTCTACGCTCTTGCTCCTCCTCTTTGAAATAGATAGATCTTGATATCAATGTACAAAAAAACCACCTCCAACTTTCTGAGTTAAATCCCTCTCTATGCACAAGTGACCGGAGACTGTAGCGTCCACTCCATGCATATGACTGCTGAGTGCTCTCCAACTTCCATCCCAGCTCAAACACAAATTTTACAATCCATGCTGCCCCTCTTCCATATTTTACTTTACTGTAATGTATGCTTTTTACATTTCTATCTTCACCTTTGTATCGTATAAAATTGCACTGATTTTTACCCACTACCACTGTCCTTCCATGTTTTCTAGTATTTGATGGACTTTAGTTCACCAATAACTTAATTCTTTCCATGATTCTGGTCACAGAATTCCACAATAGTTGCAGAATTCCACTGCCACTGTGAGGCTCACGCTCAAGGGAAGCCGCGGAAGGGCTCATGTGGTGGGAAAAGGCAGAGGGTCCTGCACTGATCACAGCAGTGGGGATCTGTGATCTTGGCCATTTTTCATATGGCCTTTTCCAAAGTCAGTTTCTAACTAATGCTAATGCTTCTGGCCAGAGGCGTCTGTTTGGCTGGACTTGATGAAGCCACCCCGAGACTTTCCCACTAGAGTATAAATCATGCAGGCAATCGGTACTTGCCTCTGCTGCCGAGTACTGACAGTCAATGGTTTCAGCTCCTGCTTCCAAAGCCCATAATGAGAGCACCGTGCCTTTTAGACAGAGTTACCTTTTCTGCTTTGAGTCGGTGGCAAAAAGCCTAATTAGCTAATTAGCTGCTTGTGGTACCCAGCCATTGAAAAGCACTCTCTTAAATACTTTGAAGATTTTTTTTTCCCCAAGGGGAGGGTGGTGGCTGGAACAGAATGCAGAGCCTCCTGCATCCTAAACCAACACTATACCATGGAGTCACACCCCAAGCCCTTGAGGATCTTTCAGACTGTCCAAAAACACACCCTTTCTGCTCTCTGTGTCACAGGAAGATTTGAAAAGACAGGCCTTGGGAACTAGCTGAAGCAAACCCCTGTGCGTGTAAGTGTTAGCTTCCCTGCAGCGGCCCCTGTTTGGGGGAAGCAGCTTCCACAAGCCTGTGTAATTCAGCAGGAGATACGGCACAAGGAGGAACTTGTGGGTTTATTCAGAATTCAACAAAACTCTGCCCATTGATCCCCTCCCCCTCCCAGAAAGAGCAATTTTGGACACCAACTCATGGCGTCAAACCTCTCCTGTAGGTACTGGGTAAGTTCATTGACTTTCCCCGATCAGATGTTCATTTTTAACCCAGGGTAGTGGGAGGCGATGGCTGTCATTTCAACACTCCATCTGTCAGCCAGCCGTTCAACATCATTGCTCATCCGCCCAATACAGTACTGTTGATGGTGCAGGTGAAATTCATTTGCACAATAAACATTCCCAGCCAGGCCTTCATCACTCCTAGAAAATCCTATGCCACTGCAAGTCAGCTGTGAATGGAAGGTGAAAGTCATCACGCAGCTGGCATGTGCTAGATATGAAAATTTCCCCAGTTTGTTTAATGCTCATTTAGAAATGCACACCCAAAAGAACTTAATATTTAATTCTTCTATAAACTGTAAACACATCCCAGTGATATCTGAGTATCTTACAGACTGTCTGTAAACAGAAGTTGCTTCAAGGCATACTCCAGTTACTCGCTGATACAAAATTTTAAAAGCTTAACAAGTTCTTCAAATGAATGCCAATAATTTTTAACATTCCTGTTGGGAAAAGCTCGCTTAGTACAATGAGTGTCACAAACATTGACCTTTTAGTGGTCAGCAAAAGGACACATTTGCAAGATAGATACTCAGTTATAGACAGTACCTTAAAATATGTTTACTTACACCTAAAACATACATTCAAATAATAATTAGAGATTCTACCTTCTAGCATATTGTCTAATGCCAGATGGAATGGAATAAAATATTGCATAACTTAACATGATTCAGCAATGAAAGTGGATTTAGAATATTTTTCAGTTGGAAGTACCATTAGAAAATTGCAAGAGTTGGGGGCTGGAGATTTAGCTCAGCGGCATAAGCGCCTGCCTTGCAAGCAGGCAGTCGTGAGTTCAATCCCTGGTACCGATAAAAAAAAAGAAAAAGACAAAAAGAAAAGAAAAGAAAATTGCAAGAGTTGAAGGAGGGGAACTTTGTTTCTGAATAATCAACTCTTTAGACTATTGTATCCATGAAGGTGGTTATAGGATTATTTTTCCACCTGTAGCAAATGAGATACTTTGTATTCAAACATTGTCTGCTTGTGAAAGAGCAGAGCAGGCTATCCATGGCTGCATACTGCTGAAGCATTTCTGACTGGTAACAATGTCAAAGTAGATGAAACGGCAGCATTGAAGCAAAT